CTTTATTACGAAGTTAAAAGAAACGAAAGTACTAAAAGTTTAGTGAGAGTGTTTTAACAAAGTGTTTTATGAACAAGAAAATATACGAATGCTGAATTCACAAACATTTCCTCGGCGTCAATTAATTTATGCCTGTGTTTATTTAAAAAAGCTTGCAGAATTTCAGCATAACTTCAAAGAACAATTTAAGTAGGGAGATCAAAGAACGTATCAAGTACCGTACTCACAATTGTATATGCACTTGCATTTTGGAAGACGAATACTGTCAACTATCCATGCCTATTGGGGAGTGAGCTGGTCTAGTGGTTAGAGCGTGGTACTTCGGTCCCTGAGGTCCCGGGTTCAAATCACGCCAAGTCACCCATGGCTTTTATTTAATAGATAGTGCCGCAACTCCTAGGTCTAGCCTGAAGTAATCTGAAAACAATCCCGGGCTCGTACCTAGCGTCCTAGGACAAAAAAAACTATCAATGTCAATTGGATGGTACTATTCTGGCAAAACTCAACTATCAATTCAACCTAAGGTTTGCTACAAAAGTATTAAAATTGTATTTCAGTTTCTAAAAACCGTATATAAAGTAAAAGGTTGCTTTAAGAAACAGAGAATCAAAAGGATTAAGAGAAAGACTTTCTGTCTATCAGGAGATACAAAACGAGTGTACTTGGTGTTTCATGAACTCTTTATTCTCCTACAAGTGCCTCGTCCCTCGTCATCTCGTATCTGTGGGGAATTACTTTACCCAGTTCTGCGAACCAGGACGAAGTGGGGCTATCAAGGTGAGGCTTATTGCACTCTTTACTCTCAGCAGTGAACGTTTATATCTCCGTAACATACGACAAAATTGCTATAAGTAATATGTGGAGAATATTCTCACTATAATATAAGGATGGCAGGTTAAGTTTATTTAAGAGTGTAAAAGTGTACTAAGGAGCTAACTGACTAGTCCTTTTCTACATTAGTTAAATTCCGTTGGGGAAGATTTTTGAATTTTACGCTAAAACTTTACCCTCGAGATAAGTTTCTATGATTCAGCTCAGCAAGTCTTTGTTTTATGAAGTACTCTAAGGATCTTTGAGAAAGAAATCAAAATGCATATTTATATGAGTAACTGGAGTCCTCCCTACTTAGTAGGAGTGGGAGAGAAATAGGGGATAATTTAAGATGATAAAACATGACAGAAAGATTTAAGGTATCCGGATAGCTCAAATTTTGTTAAATTCACAGAGTTGAAAATGTCCATCCATCTATAGGATATTTGAGTTGCGACGTGCATGGTCGTAAGCATTATTGTCTGTGAACATGCAGCTGACCATAAACGCATTCACCTTGTGCTAGCACAGTTAATGTTTAGGAACAAATAATTATTATAACTTTTTTTTTCATCCACGCCAATGACGTTCCACATAATATTATTTTGTAATAATAAACCTTACAAATCTTAGAAGACGTACAAAAAGCTTGGATTTGTTAAACTTGCACTAAATCGTACAAATGAAACCAATCAAATATTCAATGTAAATATTAAAGTTGAGTACTATATGATATGAAATATTTGTGAAACCAAACACTTGATAAACACATAACTAACATGCTACTAAAGTATAAACACAAATAAATAGCGATATTTTAAAGGTACGGCTCATTTAATTTACTCAACAGTTTTCTAATTGGAATTTGCTTATTAAAAGGAACATGCTACTTACTGCTAGATTTTCCTGAACTAATAATAATGTAACAAAATACCCCCGCCGCAGCAAACCTGCCGACTAAGCGAATTTCCATTTGTCTGAATTTATTTTCAGTTAAATATATTTTAATAACATAAGGTTTAACGAGTACCTAGGTTTGCTACTACAAGGAAACTAATAAAGTGTTTTTGAGTAAAATATTGATAGCTTAGTACAAAATAAATAAATTTACCAAGTTTGATCAAAATATATCCATAAACAAGCAAACTACAACATTTGACAATATTCTCCATAAGAATAACATGGGAATTTTTAATTTACAATTTTTTAAATTTTCTCCGTAACAAATAATCGAACAAAAATACTTTTATATACTAAATTATTTGTTTTTTAAGCTCTTTAAACAGGTCTAAAGAGAAATTGGGAAATTTTGCGTTTTGAGGGTCAAAAGTGAGAAAAACCAATTTTTACCCCATAAAACCCCCCGTCAAGCCCCGTTCCCATGGTCCGATCGTGCTGGTTCGCGAACTCATTCAAGTTTATCCCGCTTTACACCTTTAAACCAAATTTCATCAAAATCGGACAAAAATTACTCAAGTTATCGCGTTCACGGACGTATATATATATATATATAAATCTATATATATATATATACATATATAAAAATTTTAACGAATGGTGTTTTTGGCCTCTGGGGACAGCAAAATGAAAAAGTAAATCGGTCCCGGGTCTAGGTCTTACCGTGCCACCTACGGTAATAGCTACTTCCCTATAGGGAAATTCGCTAAAAATAAGTGTTTTCTACATCAGCATTAATATAATGTTTCGGTTAAATGCTCCAAAGACCGAATAAATCAATTTTTAGGAATCATCACTAATTTATAGTCATGATGTTAAACAAACAGTTTACAAGGTCTTTCCGTGAATCGTGAAACTACAATGTCCTTTTGTTTACGACTTTTGTTGATTTTGTAAAGCGGATAAACAAAAGTAAAGTTAAAAAATTTTAAACATTGTAGGTACATAAAAAAGTACAGAGCAAAATTACAGCTAAAAAAATTTATTTGTATTTCAAAAATTAAAAACAACTTCATAAAACTTAGGGTTAATGATTGTGGTTTTGGTTTGAAGAAAACAGTCTAATAGCGATTGTTAACAACATTTACCTACGGCCGTTTTTTAAACTAGCCGTTTCAGTTCAGTTCTTGGAATGGAAAAGATTCACTTAACAGCATTATTTTACTTAACAAAAGTACGGACCAATGAGGTTCAAGGATTGAGAGAAAAGAAGTAAAATTGTAATGCTTCGAATTTCAACTAATCAACTGTGAAGACCAATTTAATTGTTAATGAGTGATGCAAAATTGGTGGTTTGTAATTAGTAGAGTCGTTGCATCACTGTCAATGAGAGGCTTTAAACGAAGACATAACCTCTCATAGAAGTTATGAGTAGTTATTGTTGGTAATTAGAAAACGGTCGAAGGTAAAAAGGTGTACGCAACTCACGTAAATAGTCTTCTTAAATTTCAACTCGTGTAGTTAACACTATTTTTACGCGATCGTTTAGTAAACTACCATTATTTCCCATCATTAGCTAAATAATCCATTATGTTAAAAATTTGTCAACATTTTCGAATCAGTGTTAGATGTGAGCTGAAATGTGTTTTGGCTATTGCATAAACGCGTATCCTGCTTCTAATTTATTAAACTATTGTTACTTTATATACATTTTATTCAAACGAAGAAGGTTTGAAATTCTGGAAGAAAAAACGTCAAGTGTATTCGTCACATTTATTATGGTATTCGTGAAATTACTTTAGGATAACACAATTCCTAGGAATACTTCAATGGCTACCTCACCAAGCAGGAGAACTATTTTGTGTATTCTTCTTCACCCAAATGTCAGTATACTTTATACGTAACTATTTAAAAAATAGTGATAAACTGTATTCAAATCTTTAGAGAAATTAGAAAAAATAAACTTCGATGTGATAATACAATAATAGAACCCCAAGGAACAAAAATAAATGTTGTTGTTTTCCTCTTCTAGAATAAATCTCTTTCCTCTTTCCTTTATAATTTCACTCACATCCATGGATAACAAATTTTCTATCTCGAAAAACTTTAAGATATTAAGGTACCGTAGCTTGATGAAATCAAAATAACATTTTTTTATTTAATCACACCATAAAATTAATATCATTCTTTTCGCCCAACAAATATAGCTTGTTATATGGATGTTTTAGCTTAAGCTGTCACAATACAAAGATTCTAAATACAGTACGGAGATATTAGGGTTTTTAAAGAAAGTCAAATTTGTGCATTAAACTATTGAGAATTGTTTACTGTTTAGGAACGAGCTATTTCCAACCCCATTAAATAGACACACAGATAAAAGTCTAGCTACCGAATAATAATGAATTTATAAAATATATAACATTATATTCTAAAAGCTTTGATTGTTTTACAGGGCTCCCGCCAAAGTTGTTAGTATCGGGACTGCCCCAAACAATGTAATGCTGAAAATAACAGAAATGAAATGTTATTTGCGTTATTAAATACAGCACCTCTATCTGGGTACAAAAATATTTATTATTGACTAAGTTTGATTTCCCTTTAAATTCGCAAAATGGTGCACAACACCCTTCGTCCATTATAGCCAGTTTTAACTTCAACTTGTATTGATAAAAGCTTTTTGTCTTCTTAAATATTTTATAGGCTTAGCAACTGAAATTCTCTATTTTACCATCTCTAAAGCTGGACTATAAATCCCACTCGTTTACTGTAACACAGTTTGCTATTGACGTTTTAAAATCAGCACAATATTCTTCACTCGATCGAACAGCCATTAGTTGTTAATCGACCATTAACCCAGTAAACCCCTCTCTTTTCCCGCCGTAAGGAAGGGGGAGGTCGATATCCAAGGTCATGAGAGGGTTGGGGAGGGGACGTTAAAGATAGTGGAGCTACTTGTTGCTACGTGCGTGGATCGGTGCGTTACCCTTATCACACTTACAACAATATAAACCCACCCCAGGAACCATCGCAAGCATTTCCCGAAGAAATATTACGCAGCTTGCAATTTTTTTAATACATCGATACAAAAAATATTTAAATAATTTTTTTTATTAAATTCATCCATTAACTTAAGTTTTCCGGGTAAGTTTAAATTTTATTTAAAATTATGTTTCGGAAAACACATCTGTAAACGAATCGAATCCAACCAGGGTAACCCGAAACGCCATCGAAGGTTTTTCAAAATTTTCGGTAAAAGAGCAGATTATCCGGGTTGGTACTGTTGGGGTACTGACCTTGACCTGGCCTCTACATGTTAGACGGCGCGGCGGCGGCACTGTGTAGTGGTGTATTGCGCGGCGGACGATGAGCCGTACTGGAACTGGTGGTGGTGGCGGGGACTGTCACAGGGGGCGGTTGGCGGCTTCTTTCGCGCATGCGTACGTTGACGCCCACGTCCACGACGTAGCGTACGTACTCTCTCACCACGTGCCACGTCACACAGGGTGCATAGGGTATTGATCTCGAGAAACCGACGACCTCACAACTGCCCGACTTTTTTTGATCGTTGAAATTGATGAAATTTTATGCAATTTCGCTCTTCTACTTTGTTGATTTTGTAAATCTCCCAAGAAAGAGTTGAATTTCTAGCCCACGCGATAAAAAAATTCGTGGGACGTTGGACGAGTAAATGTTAGTAAATCAAAAGTAGGGATGGTTTGTCTATCGTTGAGCAGAAATCTAATCAGTATCGGAAATATAATGTAAATAGTATCTGATCAGCCAGTAGGGGCTCTCTCGCTGCATGGCTACTACAGAATACCACTGCGAGGAGAGTGCTTGGGGGGGGGGAGGGGGCAATTACCTGCCTCACCTGCAATACTTTCACTCTTCCCACCCCTTTATCAAAATTAATTATCTGTTGCCATCATAATAGTTTCATTATTTCACACATTAGGTTTTGATTTAATTTTCTCTTCGACACGAAGTTTATTTTACGATTTTAATTTCATCTCGTATGGACTAACTTTTACTTTCCCAATTTTCATACCGTATTTTGTTTACAGTGACTTAAAAAATCATTGAATTTGTAAGCAGATTCATTCATTACCTATCTATATGAAGTATTAAGCATACAATTATAGATATGCGAGTTTGCGTATTTCGAATTCAAGTGTGTTACTGTAATGTTATAAATAAATATTTGATTTACGATTTACTGAGATTGTCAAGTCGTAAACTAAATGAGCAGCACAAAGGTTGATAAGATGAGTTTGTGTCAACAGGTCACGTGCAATGTTATACCGATTGAAATTTCAGAGACCTAGTTATGCTCTTGACAATCCTCCGAAAACCCACCAACCAATTAGCAAGTTTATATATTCGTTCCATTTAAGAAACTGTGCACATGCACTATAATTTGATAACTGTGCTGTATTGTTTCTGTGTATTAGAAACTTTGTGGTTGTATGGTGTTTTAAAATGTCAATATTAGTAATAGATTGATGATTTATATGTTTTTGTAAAGTTAAAATCTTCGTACCCTCTGTAATAGTTATCTGAAATAGCTTAATAATTTGCATTAGCTATAAACGTAGTAATGTGGCTGCAAATATTCTTTAATACAATTATAGTGGAAAGACCAACAATTCTATATTAAAGACAGCAAAATCGGTCACTTGCCTTTAAATCATAAAGAGAGAATGGATAGTAAAAAACAAATGTATAATTTTGGAACTTATTCCAAAACATACATTTGTTATTATTTGTTAATATGAAACATATGTGTAATGACTTTAAGAACTAGATATGCAATCTACCAAAAAAGAAATAATATATATTCGGAATTTATAAATGGTTGCCATTAATTTAATATCCTTACACTAATTTAAATATAACACGCACTCATTAAACTTTAGTAGCTGTAATACCATAGCTATTTACATATCGTTAAAAGAAGAATGGCAACAATGAGGTGCTGACCATTTCGTCTCTAAAGCTGTGGGTTTTAATCATATAACATCTAACTACTCATTTCCCCTGCCAGCGTTGGGAAAGGCCCCGCCTGGAGGCTCAACAGTTAGTAGGAAAATAAATTATTTAAAAATCCTTCTTCTTATGAGCCTGACCAAAATGTTGTATGTATTATTACAAGTATATGACGCTTAACAATATAATCTCACACAATTTGAAAACTAACCTGCATACTCCAATCAGAACTGTCCCTGAAAAGATAACATGTAAATAACAGAGCTAAATTTAAGCACTCATTTCCCTAATTTAAATCAAGAACAACTCACTGAAATATTCAGCATAATAGCAATAATAAAATGTAATACTAGCTACACGAAGCACTGACCTGTGCATATAAAAACAATAGTGTAATAAGAGGCAAATAATATGAATTAGACTTTTTCATTACCATCATTTCGTAAATAAACTATGAACTAAGTAACTGTTAGTCTTTATAATAGTTGTATTTTTGCTACAACGTTATAAAATATCATGAACGTAATTTAACATATTCAAAAGAGACATAAGTGGTTCCATGAAGCATCTTCATCTTCATGGAGTTTCTGATCTCAATCTCGTTGCTGTGATATTCTGGAACACTACTAAACAAATACTTTTCAATTGGAAACTATTGTAATTTGTAACTAACAAAATCTTACAGAAAATCAATATATTTAGTCTTAACACACGGTTACATTATAAAGTTCTTTTTTAAGAATTTAGATTGATGCGAATATGTAATTTCGAGGGGTTTCAATTAGTCTCTTTAATTATAATACCTCGAACACAATTTTATTTTCATTTTGTTGGGGGAAAATGTTTGTTGGGAAACAAAAAGTAAACCCGAAAGTGAAATACAACACGGTCGTAGTTCTTAGTCCGCCCGCGTGCCGACACTCTTGTTCTATCAGTTGTTATACGGGTGGACATCGTCTGTCCAACAACTTGCATCTCCATGTATCAGTGATACAATACATTTGAACACTTCTTTAATAATCGTACTCTAAATATAGGTACTCATATAATTATAAACTCTTATGTACTAAAACTTTGAAGGACGCATGAAATGTTTGAAAATCTAAGGTAACTAGCAATACAATATTTCTTTGCAAAATAGAGTTCACTAATGTGTACTTCTTCAGCAACAGAAGGGACAGAAATTCAAAGTACTTATAAATAGTGGTTGTTTTAGCTATTTCTTGCAATTGGGCAAAGAATAAATTATTTAAAAGAATGCTATGAATCTCCGGTTAATCGCGCTGAAATAGTTAGGAATATACAGCACTACTTATAAATGAGGGCTTAAATTTGTTCTTATTTCTCATCCGGGAATAAAAATTATAAAAAACAATTATTCCTTGTGTAAAAGCTTGCAGATAACAATAATTATAATGAAAACTATTTCCATTATTTATACCTGCCTAACATTGAATATAATGTAATGTAATACTAAATTTTATTGAATATAATGTTAAATAGTTTTAAGAAAAGTATAACACAACTTAGCCGTATTTATTAGACAATAATACAACGTGACAACAGTGGAATTAGTGTGAAGCTTGTGTAGGTTTGATACTGATTAAGCTTTAGCCAGAAACAAATTAACGGTTACTGGAAAAAACAAATGTAGTTGCATAGCAATAATTAGGAAATCGCATTCATCTCACAAAGGTTACCAACAACACAGGTTATCTTCTGGTTGGCCATTACTGTTCCGATGCATACATATATGATCGAAACTATAATTTACCAATTCACTTCAGAGGTAGTCTAAAGGAAAGAATCTGTTTTGTTAGTAAAGATGTAATAATATTTTTAATGCTTTATTGTTTAATTTAAGACAAACTGCTAGACTAAATGTTGGATTGCCGAATGTCATGGGATCCATTGATGATTCTATTGTGCCAATTGAGCTGTCAACAAATGAGAATAGTTCTGCACTGATTTGTGGAGACTGTAAGGTAAAAACCTAATATCTCTAACACTAAGGTTTTTTCTATATCTTTCTATATTCTACAAGAATTTAACTATACACTAGCTTGAGTATATTCAGATAAAATTTACGTTAGGTACTTTTAATACTTTAATACTTTTTAATGAAATGGCGACCATACAAAGTAGGTATTTTAAGCCAAGTATGAATGGAGAAGAGTGTAGGATGAGTGGCGCGATATTGTAGTCTTGTTAGTGACTAAGGCCGACATATTTCTTAGACACAGCTGTTAATTAATAGCCCATACAGCTAATGGCAACTAAAGGACCTACAGTTTATAGTGGAATCCGAACCACATTGTTGTCTTTGGCATATACGAATTGGTCTAATTATCAGGATAGAACTAGGATTTTACCTAGGTAGTAAAACTTAGACATGGGTTTAACTAATGTAAATATCATTGTAGATTGTCATCATTAACTTCAAATTATGTAAGAAAAAATGTGGAAAAGAATAAGGTTATTGCTTCTTCAATACTATTATTATTATTATTATTATTATTATTATTATTATTATTATTTTTATTATTATTAAGGACATCCATTATTGAGGAGGTGAAGCAAGCCGTGATGAGAGCTGAGGATTTTAACCACTACTCTCGCAGGGTCGTGCTGTTCGTAACGCTCGATGTGCGAAATGCATTTAATTCGGCGAGGTGGTACGATATGCTGGAAGCTCTGGAGAACACCTTCCACGTGCCGGCATACCTCATGCGCATCATAGAGGATTATCTCCGGTTTCGCCTCCTCACGTATGAGACTGCCGAAGGCCCGCGGACGATGGGTATCACTTCTGGTGCTGCCCAAGGTTCTATACTCGGCCCAGACCTCTGGAACGTCGCTTATGACAGCCTTCTGAGGTCTGAAATGCCTGAGGAAACTGTTTTGGTTGGGTACGCAGACGACGTTGCAGCTTTGATAGCTGCACGCAGCGTTGAGCTGGCTCAGCTAAAGCTTAACCGAGTTATGCGTACCATAAACGCATGGATGGCAGACCACGGTCTCTCACTTGCTTTGAGCAAAACCGAGATCGTGATTTTGACAAAAAAACGGATTGACACCATCGTGCCGCCGTTGAGGGTGGGAGCCGTCGCGGTTCAAACCGTTCGTTCTGCCAAGTATCTTGGGGTCATGGTAGACAGCAAGCTTAGCTGGCGGGACCAGATTTTCCGTACAGCGGACAAGGCCGCTAGGGTTGTTTCTTCTCTTAGCCGGTTGATGGCCAATGTCGGAGGGCCTTGGTCCAGTCGTAGAAGGCTGTTAATGTCTTCGGTCCAGTCCGTACTCTTGTACGGTGCGGAGGTGTGGGCAGACGCACTGAATAAGGAGGCATACCGGATGCGGCTCGCCCGAGTGCAACGTCAGGCAGCACTGAG